CTCTCTTAAGTAGCGCTTGTTATTGTTTCTTGGCAACAGATGGGAGAAAATTCCATGAGAGATAGAAACAAAAGGAAAAATCCTAAAGCCCGACATGAAACAAGGATTGTGTGTCAGAGTGAAGAATGATGGAGTAATACTTTATGACCTGACCACATATTTGGGATACTCTCAAAAAGAAAAGATTCATCAGAAGATCTGGAACCATATCCAAATGAGTCCATGGACAGAATGAACATACGCACATGTATTCAGAAAAGTGATGAGTATGTATTAGTTTTCAGAATACGGCCTTGCCTATTCTGCTTAGAGGAGGCATGCTTAGAGGAGACATCCCCATGCATCCAGCTCTCTAATAAAGTAATGTCAGGTTTCTGATGCAGGAAATTGGTTGGAGAGTTTATTTCCCAGTTTTTGGTGACAGCAGGGCTTTGAGCAGCCAGGTCTGGGGGAAGGTGTCCCTGCCCATGGCAGCGGGTGGGACAAGATTGTCTAACCTAAACCCTTTGATGACTCTGTGATCTGTGGGCTGTCCATAGCAGACACTGTCTTCACCAGGGTCCATCTTCCTTTGTCTGTCTTGCAGTCCCCCTTGGGCACGGGTTTGGTCAAAGGCTTCCATTGGGAAGGCATTGATGGACAGATTACATCTGTCCGTACATGGCAGAAATGTGAATTAACAGTGAAACCCTAAGTCTTCTGCACAAACTCAACCTAAAGTCATTTACCACTGCGTATCCTGAGTATGGCTGATTCCAATTCTAACTTCTGAAATATCTCAGCACTGCATCTTAGGACAGAGAGGGGCACTGCATGAGCTGAGGGCCCCTGTGAGATTGAGATGTGTTCCTCATCTGCCTGTGCTGCTGTGTGCAGGCCGTGGACCCTAGACTGGGTAATGGAGGGGAGGAGAAGGTAGGTATGAGGCTGTGGGCTGTTTCCACACTGCTGTTTTCCAGCTGTTGGGAGAAAAAGGTTGAAATGGAAAGACTTGGAGGGCAGGGTGATAGATTTGCACAAAGTGACCTTGTAGGTGGGGAGGCTGAGAACATCCATGTGGGAAACGTCACATATTTACTGCTGATTATCCTGTCTCTCTTTTGAGACATAACATAAAAGTTGTCAGAACCTTAAGAGGCATCACTCACAGACAGTCTTGAGCCTCCTGCTGGGAGAGTGAGAGATTAAAAACTCTAAGGACATAAAAGTAGAGCATTGTGATGACCTGCATGTGCGTGAGGCCCCTTGAGATACTGGGACAGGCAGTGACCCGCCAGGATTGGACTGACCTTAATGGTGCAACTGTTCCTCTCTCATGTGTCTCTGCAGCCTGGCAGTGCCTTGGGACCCTTGAGCTAATGAGGTAATGAAATAAATCTACTCTTTGCATTTCAGCTGTGGTTTGGTGACATGGACGTATCAATTCACACACCAATGCACTCCTGCTACCCTTTGGACGGATCAATTCACACACCAATGCACTCCTGCTACCCTTTGGAGCCTCGCTGTTCCTGATGGCCATTGACTGTACAGTACCCAGGTATGTTTTCCGCAGCTCCAAGGCAAAAAGGCACAAAGTAAAATTCACTGCAGGGACTCCCACCCTCTGTTTCTCCACCATTTATCTTGAGCAAACTGGAAGAGGTGCCATGGAAAGAAAGAGAACTTTGAGCACAAGGCTTGGATGCAAAACAGTTTTATTGAGTTAAAAGAAGAAAAGGAGGTGGCTCATAGAGAGCACCAGTAGCAGCCACTAAGATGCAGTGAAGTTTCTGCAGAGTGTGCATCTGCCCACCCTGCAGAGAATGGCAGGGCAACATGACTCCACAAGACTGGTCGGAGGAGACATGGACAACAAACAGAAGAGAAAAAAAAGTAGAAGGGAATAACAGCTTGAAGGTGTAAATACAATGTCCCAAAGCTCTGTCTTCTGCCCAGAACTAGGTTCTGAGGTCATGGAGGTTCTTGCCCAAGGATGTTGCTAGCAGCTTTAGCAGGGACGGCATCTGCTGCTACCAAAGCAGTTGGTGATGCAGGAGATGTCAAAGCCCCCAGAGCTGATGGGCACTCCACCACAGCTGAGGATGTTGCCAACAGCAGCAGAGGTGGAGGATCCCACGGCGGTGTTCTGTGGGAAGGAGCTGAGGATGGGGCCAGGCAGGGTCACCAGCACAGGGGAGGGCTCGATGACAACGTGGGAGTCCTGGCACTGCCTGACACAGCACTCATTGCAGCTGCTGGCCAGCGGGCAGGGGCCGCAGGGCTGGCAGCAAGGGTCGCAGGGCTTGCAGCAGGACATGGCTGGGGCTTGCAGGTGCACCTGGCACAGAGGGCAGGGAGAAGCACAGAGTGAGGACACATGAGAAGCAGCACTGCACCCAAACCCCCTGCAGCCAAGGCACCTCCTGGCCCACATTGCACTGCCCAGCTCAAAGCCCAGGAGCCACCTCAGCCCAATATGAACCATCCCATCTAATGATGGCGGATGTGTCCTGGTTTCCTGCAATGCATTCTTTTAATTTCCTGGCACATGCCACTTAATTTCCTACATGAATTCTTCCATAAGTGCTGAGATGAGAGGCCCAAGAATTTCCAGGATGTTAAAAACAGGCAGAATACTCGAGTCCAGGGCTGGTGGCATCCCATGCAGGCACGTTTTGTAAAGCTGTGTATTTTCTATGGGTTTGTTCATACAAAAATATGGCAAAGCCATAGTGGTAAAGTAGACTTGTCCTTTATTGGCATCCATGCCAACCTTGATGGACTGCAGCCTATAGGAAGGGCTCATCCTGGAACAGAGAAAAATGTGAGGAGACAGAAAAGAACACTTGTGCACTGACCAAAACTCCCCTGTTCCACACCCCACAGTGCCATGGAGGGCTGAAGTAAATCGAAGACTCATTAATGAAGGATGGAAGTTGAATGTTTAAGAAAGAGGTGTGGATGAACTGAATCATAGAACCAAAGAATCATAGAATGTTAAGGGTGGGAAAGGACCTTAAAGATAATCTAACCCAACCCCCCCCCCCCCCCCCCGCCATGGGCAAGGACACTGAAATTAATTCAAGGGTTGTGTTGGGGGAGAGGGGGTCGCATTTTTTTTTCTTTTCTGCTGTTTCTCAATATCCTGTTTTATTTTTTCATTGTCAATGTTTTAAACAAATGTTCCCCAACTCAATTCTATTTTTTTCTTTTCCCAATCATCCATCCCTCACTGACCCTCTCTTCTGGCCAGTCCACTCTGTATGTTTCCCAGACAGGCCTTTCAGAAGATCTCAACTGTCTTTGTAGTCCCAAATTTCTGAGGTTTGGGCTCTAAAGGGTGTTCCTTATGAGCTCCGTGCTTCAGGAGAGGTGGGAGAGAGGGATAGATGCAAAGTAGAATTCTTCTGTGTTGGCATCCAGACAGGAAGACCTTGCACCCTTTGGTGCAAGGCTGAGCTCTGCAGGAAGGGGCCTCAGTTCTCCCCTGGCATCCCAATTTTCCCCATGCAACCAGAGATGGGAAAAAGATCCTCTTGATGTGAGGGGCAGGGATTATTGCCTCAGGGATGAGGAAATGTTGGAGGAAAGAGCTTCTGCCATGGAACTGTCCCAGGATGGGATTGCAATTGCAGTGAGAGATCAAGGGTTGTTCTGACTGGTGCACTGTTTCCAGGACCATGGCAGGAACTGGTGGTGGCTTGTCCGTGTCACCTTGCCAGCCCATTTGATTAACCTTTCCTCTCCCAGCGGTGCTCTGTTGATGAGAGTTGGGAATATGCTGTCTGCAAGACACCTCAGCCCTGAAAATGTGTGCAATGAAGATTTGGGGTTGCATGGGGTACTGCAAGGCTGTGCTGGAAGAGCAGTATCTGTCTTCTCTGAGAGAAAGAGGTATTTCCCTCTCAGAAAAAAGGTAAGGAGAAAATGTTGTGGGTTGAGATAAAGACAGAGGGATTTCTTACCAATCACCAACAGAAAAAACAAGGCTTGATTTGGAGAACATTCATTGTACACTTTACAAACAAAACAAAGCAAGACTGCAAAAAACCACTAAAATAACTTCGCTCCATCTCCAACTCTTTTTCAGTGATGCAACTGCTCTTCCTCATTCCTGGTTCTCTTCTGTTTCCTCCATGTTTAAGCAACACAACAGGATAGAGAATGAGGGGTTGCAGTCAGAACACAACAGTTATTTTTTGGGCAAAGATCGACTTCAACAGAACTGATCATGAAAAAGCAGCAGGATTTAGTCAGTTAGCCTAAAAAAATATCACACCTTCCTACTTTTCCAGACACAGTTGCTAGACATGCAATTTTTTTAGGGGGTATGGAGGTCCGGGTCCTTGAACATGAAAGGAGTTTGACTCATAGATGTTTGACTTCCCCTGTACCACACAAGAAAGTCTGTTCTACATCTCACAACAGAGCACAACCCAGGTCCCAGTCCATTCAGTTCAACACCCTTTTGCTGTGAGATGCAACCACTTCCTCACTCAGCACCGGCGAGATGAGCTGTACAAGTGCATCCAGCATTGGTCTGGAGAGGAAGAACCTGTGTCCCATCCCAGCAACACTCCAGCATAAGAGGATCCATTCAGGGACTTTCAATTCAGTGGCCTGCCTGGAACAACTCAAAAATATGTGCACTCATATGAGAACAGGAGGAAGTTGGCACCTGGGGTCTCTGCTGACACAGCATGTCCCCTCACATGGCAGTCCTTGGGCAAGAAGCACAAAAGTGGTGCCCATTTCCAGGCAACTTTGACACAAACAAACCCACAATAATTAACGCAAATTCACATCAGCTGACCACAGAGAATGCCAACAGCCCTTGATCTGAGCATCCTGCAGGTTCTGATGTGTTTACCTCCCGGAAATCCTTGGGCTTGTCCTCCCGGCACTTACAAAAGCCCTCAAGGAGGAAGGGATATGGCATGTGCCAGGAAATGAAAAGGAGGCATTGTAGGAAACCAGGACACAGCCCCTACCATTAACTGGGATGGTGCACCTCTGACATGAGCTGGTCAGAAAATTATGGCTTCCACTAAGGTGCCTGAGGGCCTGAGGCAGGCCAGGACTGCTATAAAAGGCAGCCCAAGTCTCTGCTCTCTCATCCACTTCTCTCACCTCCTCCTCCTCCTCAGGAACCAGGTGAGCGCTAAGCCTCTTCTCCTCCTCCTCCTGCTTGCCGTCCCTGCTAAATCTGCTGGCAGCAGTCTTGGGCATGTCCGAAGACCTCTGAACCTTGTTCTGGGCACAGATAGAGTTTTGGGACATTGTATTTAGAGCTGCAGGCTTCTCTTTCCTTCTTCTACTCTCCCCTCTCTTTTATTCACTGTCTGTGTCTTCCCAGACCAGTCTAGTGTGGATATGTTGCCCTGCCATCCTCTGCAGGGTGGGCAGAGGCACACCCTGCACAAGCTCCACTGCATCTTAGTGGCTGCTCGTCTTGGCCTCTGTGAGACACTTCCTTTTCCACTTTACGCTCAATAAAGTTGTTTTGCATCCAAGCCTTGGCCTCCATATCTTCCTTTTTTCCTACGGAAACTATTCCAGTCTGCTGAGGGTAAAAGTTGGAGGGGTATAGGGTGGGAGTTCCTGTAGGGGATTTTCCTTTCTGCCTTTTCCATTGGAGTTGATGAAGAACATCCCTGGCTACTCCACAGCCAATGGCAAACGGGGAAAAGATGGCTCCAAAGGGTGGCAGGAATGGAGAAGGGAACAGCATTGTCTGGGACCAGCCCACATCTCTTCCTTCTCCTCTCCTTCGTTATCCAGTCTAAAGTCCCTGAGCAGCACATGTGGTCAAAGGCAGATGAGACAGGTACTTCATAGAGTCCTTTAGCACCAGGCAGGACACAGCTGCTGTCCAGACATGCAGGGCTGAGGTGATGCAGAAGATGGGATCAGTCTCTGCCAATCAAGTTGAGCACACTGTGAGGTGGCACCTTTCCTTCATTAAGGAGAGGGAAATACTCAGGATTCTTAAATGCTCAAGGTCAAAAGGAGTGGAGGAATTGGCTTAGGGACTGGGTTCAAATGTAGGTAGTGGCCTTTCCAGGAATGTAAGCCTTTGGGGAAAGGAAAGCTGCAGGTTTCCTGGAAACACTGATAGCAAACAGCTGAACTTGGCAGGAATCAGAGCAGGGAGCTGCAGCTTTTGCACATGAAAGGCTGCATTTGCCAAAGGCCAAACCATTTTGCCAGGAAACTTGCTATTAATGAAAACACTTCAAGAAGAGAGATGGTGGGTGGTTTCCCTGTGTTGTGATGCCAGCTGATGCTGGCGTTCCCTGCTACTCCCTGAGGCCATGAGGCCCTGAAATCAAGGCCAAATGTTTGATTGCCTGATAAGAAGAATGGAACAGAACAGCATTTTACTCTTACCAAATTAATGGAACAATGTAGCCTTGGAGAATTAGATGTGTTATAAATAACTAGATAGTTGCTGGCTTTTTTACGGCTTTTTTATTAGCTTTTTCAGATTATTAATCACAACAATTTTGATGTAGTACAATTTGTAATCATTTTAACTGGTTTTGAATATAGCATAATTTGTCAGCTTTTGCGGCAATGCTCTGGCTATGTGTAGTTTATATATATTAGTGTGATAAATATATTATAGTTTTGGCTTTTGCAAAATATTAAAATAGAGACTATGTAATAATAACTTTTGCAGAACATTTTTATCTTTGTAGCTAGCTTACAACAGTGAGAAAACTCAAGTTTTTGGAAATAGCTAAAACTGTCTCTATGATTACATAACATTGAAGGAACCACATAGATAACAATGAAGAAAAGGATGTGAAAAAGACACTGACCCTTCGGCGATCAATAATTGCCCGTTTGTCGTTGTGAGGAAATGGCATACACATTGTAAGAAAATTACATATACATTGTGAAGAAATTACATTCACGACTCTCAGTAATCAAATCTACACTATTGCATGACGGATCAAGGGTGGAACAAAGCTAAAGAGTTCCCAGAACATGTAAAAGAGCTCACAGGAATGTTTGAATATGTATAATCCTCATGAATATGCATCTAACTAATGTAATGAAAAAGTATATAAGAAAGTTGTTTTAAGCTAACAGTGTGCTTCTGGCAGTTTGCCAGGCACACCAGCGCTGGATATTGTCCCTTTTATCCCTTATTAAACTTCAAAAAATTTTAAAGAGTGAGCATTGTTTCTCACAAAAAGGCTGACAAAACAAAAGTAATGAAAAACAATGGTATTGTGCATTACTCAAAAGCTGAGGTCAAGGAACAACCTCCTAAAAATTTTGGGACACAAGACATTGATGACCACTGAAGAAGATGCCAAAAGACCAAATAAGGACTTGCAATAAGGGGTGTGACTGTATATATATGTGCACATATGCATGTATATATAATGCATATCTATCAAGTTAGCAGGGATACAAAATAAATATGCAATTAGTGTGTATGATAAAAATTCTCTTTAACCTACACTTGATGCACTTGATTAGAGGAAGGATCCTCCGAGTGCCCAGAGCTGCAATAAAGAATGCCTGCTTTCTAATATGCAAAACTGTGTTAGAAAGTTTATATCTGAATGATTTTGGTATCATGCCAACACTGCATCTTTAACTGCTGGTGTGCTAAATTCTGTACACTGGGAAACTCAAACTCAGAGAGCCTCCAACACTCATGGATGGCAATCGGGGATGTAAAAGAAATGGGTTTTTATTCCATGCTGGGGACATGACATGTCAATTGACACTTGCCTGGAAACGAAGACAGTACACCTTTATCAGACTCCCAAAGGGGTATAAATGTTGCCCAATGATTGCACAGACTGTGCTGGCTGAACTTCTACTTTTTCATGCATTCTGGACATGAAATTATTTTAATCACAGAAGATCCCTACCTGAAAAGGTGTGAAAGTTGCTGGGTGTGTCCTTCAGCAAGAACCTCCAAGACCTCAAAACATGATGCTGGCCAGAAGACAGAGCTTTAGAACATGGTATTCAGAGCTTCAAGCCTGTTGGAGGTTAGGATTCTTCCTTTAGTTTTCTTTCTCTTAGGGAATTTTCTCTAATTTTGCTACTAAGAGACAGTAACAACTAGGTACTTAAAGAGGGACTAACAAAGTTGCCCCAGGAAGGGTGCAGCTGGCTACTCTCTTTTCTGAGGGTTTCTTTCAGAGGGACAGAGATATCTTAAGAATTGGGCTTGGGGAAAACAAGGGGGCTGGGCACAGCCCCTACGTCTTGCTCTCTTAGCATTTGGAGGGGAAGGAGGCTGTGGATACTGTGGGAAGAATTCACCAACACTGGGCGGTTCTGCCTCCTGCTGCCTTCTCCTATGGTGAGTGGAGCTCTCCTCTTAAGAATGGCCATTCCACTAGGACCTTATTAACACCCTATGTCATCAAACAGGGGACCCTTCACCATCTGCTCGGGTGCCTCAGGGGAAGCCCAGGATCCCCGAACACCTTTCCGCCTCAAGGGAGCCTCTATGTCGTGTTCAGGAGCCAGGCTGCTGCTACCCAGCTCTGCCACTTCTCTGCCACAGTTCTGGGTTCTTCCCTGCACTGTAACCCCACACCCCCTGTCCGCTGGGACACCCTGCAGCTCTTGCCACAGCTGCAGAGTTTCTGATACATTTCATTTGCTGTTCCAGGTTCTGCTCGTCCCTGCCATTCCAGTGTGCTGCTTCTGACGTTCCTGCTACAGCTCCTTTTGCCACCCAGAGGGAAACCAGGACCGGCTGCCCTGTGGGTTTGTAAAGGGAGCCCCTTCTCCATCCGTGCTGGCTGTGCCGCCATTACCAACATGGAGAGAGGCGGCTGAGGCGCGCCACAGCGCCTCCTGCTGGAGTGGGGGAATCCTCGCACCCGCCCTGCCCAGCCGGGAGCCAGCAGCGCCCCTGCTGGCTGTGACCGGAACTGCACCAAAGGGGAAATTGCTTAAAGGGCAGGAAGAGACTTTTTATTGGGTTTCTGGGTTCTTTTGTTTGTTGTTGCTGCCATTGTTGCTTGTTTGCCTTGTTAGATACATACATACTGGTAAAGAACTGTTATTCCTTTTCCCTATCTTTGCCTGAAAGCTCCTTAATTACAGGTTATAATAATTCAGAGGGAAGGGGCCATATTCTCCATTCCTAAGGAAGGTTCCTGCCTTTCTTGGCAGACACCTGTCTTTCAAATGGAGACAAAGCCATTATCCCCTTCTTCAATTCTCAATTAAGGAATGAAAATCTGGAGAGGTAGGAAGACATTCTTGGCCTTTTTTTCCTGAACATATAGCAAGAAATGGAGGATGAAGGAGGCAGAGGCTGCATTTCAGTTCTGTGGGTACTTCTCTGCAAGCACCATTCAGCTGTAGATTGGCTTCTTCTGGCAAAGATACCCAGCTACTCTGTGGTGCTGAAGAACACACCAAGGGCAGGGCTGACTGAGGGAATCTTCATGTGGCCTCAATGATGAGGTTCACACACATACAAATGCACACAGACACACACACAGAGACTGACTCATGTGTGCTCATGCATGGCTGCATGGAGCCAAGCAAAACTCTATATATTCATAGAAGGCCATAAAAATATCAGCAACTCAGAACTCTGCTGAAGACATGTTGGGAGCAACTCTGGCGGGAGAGGACTCAAGTTTACTGGTGAAGACCAGGTCACAGACACACTGTTAATGTTCACAGATGACCAACAGAGACTGCACTGTAAGAGAATGAGTCAAATGAGACCAGCTGAATTTTCCTTAGAGCAAGGTTTGTGTAGCAATGGGGTCAGTGCAGCAATCACTGACTGTCAGAGAGAGTCAGGGAGAAAAAAATAAAAGGATGCTTAATGTCCCCTCACATGGCAGTCCTGTGCATGGAGGAATGAGAGCAGTGTGCATTCCTGACAATTCTAGTACAAAAACCCACACAGGGTTTTTGACACAGGTTCACATCAAGTGACCGCATGGAATGCCACCATCTGAGCCTTCTGCCTGCGCTGACATGTCTATATCTGGGAAATACTTGGGTCTCTCATCCCAGCACTTACAGAAGTCTTCAGATAGGAATTCAGATGGAATTAGACAGGAAATGAAAAGGCAGCAATGCAGGAAATCAGGACACAGTCCCTACCATTAAATGGGATGGTGCATATTTGACATGCTCAGAAAATT